GGAAGAACTTTTAGAAAATTATCCATTGAGAATGTAAAATATTTCTAACTTGTCCATGTTGCTAGATGAAATCCCTCTCTTACCTGGGTGGTTTGCTCTCTGTTGTTTTTGCCCCAGCGCAAAATAAAATATAAATGCATTATCGAAGGGCAAAAGAAAGTTTAATATTTAAAGTATAGAGAATGAAAAAAATATTTAATAAAATTGTGTGTCTACCTGGGATAATGTCATATTTTTTCATAGCTCAGAAATCTGCCAAACAACATATAACTGTATACAATTGAACTGGGAAAAAAAAAAAAAAAGTTTCAAGGGAGTATTGTACTCTGGAGTTCATTTAACCTGTTCTTAAAAAAAAAAAAAAAAAAAATCAAATCACTAATACAAGTAAAGAGCTGCTCTAAGCAGTAGCTGTCTGCTTAATTACTAAGGAAGAATTTTCTTAAGGGGAATAACTTCTTACTTAAATTTTCAAGGTCTACAATATAGGGGTCTGCATCAGACTTAAGTGATTAAGCCCTTATTAAGCCCCAGGTGAGCTAGGTGATTAAGCCCAGAAACTGATCCATCTCACCCTATGTTCTACTTCTGCAAATGGACACTACAAATACAGCCTGACCTCAGTTCTAGTGCCATATGTAGGTATTCAAGATACAATGACCTCTCTTCCTGTGGGGTTTGCAAATATAACATGGTACTTACACAGAAGGTTTGTCTGTAGGCAAAGAACCAAAGGTCTTGTGGAGGTATCCAAAGGTACTCCTAAACAACAGATAGGACACTAGACACCTGTGCTTAGGCAAATTTAAAATACCACCTCATTTCCTCTCAGATGAAATCCATCTGAGTTCACCTAGTACACAGGCTATTACCATGCTGTATGCTCTGTTGTGATATCTATTAAATCCTTTTCTTCTCTACACTTTAAGAAATATAATTTTAAATGAGATAAATGAAGTAAACTTCTCCAATCAATTCAACATTAATAAGGACCTCAGCCAGAGAACTCTTTCCAGCTTTAGGCAAGATAATTTAAGGATAAAAAAATTGAAGAGAGCCCAGTAAAGAGCCACAAGAATGGTGTGGTAAATGTGAAATTTATATAAAGGGAAAGTTTTGTGGAGAAAAAAAAAATAACATTTTTTCCCTATAGATTCCATATGGCACTGGAACAAGGATAAATTGGCATAAGTTTTAGTGAAGAAGTTTTAAAATAGAATTTAGAACTTTTGAAACAATAAGATTTTGTGCACAAAAATGGCTCTTAAGGAAGATAATGGTATCTTGTTCACTGGGTATTTTAAAGCATAATACAAAAAATAAGCCCTAATGGATATTTGAGGTGGTTGATTCTACTCAAATACTTATCATTCACTTTTTAAAGAAATGATCAGATGGGTGTTTCAGGTCCTTACAGTCCATACTTCTGTAGTTTGTTAAATGATTACTTAGCTTCAGCCAGCTTGAAGCTAGGTTTCTAGCTTAGTCTAATCCTCTAAACTATCCTGACGGTGAATGGCAAGAGAAGGGCAAACTCAGTGATTATACAGTTGGCTTATACAGTATATGGTTGGCTTTCCGGGCTGCAAGCAAACACTGAAACCTGCTCACATTAAGTTGCTCAACAGCCAACACCCCCAAGTCCTTCTCCACAGGGCTGCTCTGAATCTCTCCTCCGCAGGGCTGCTCTGAATCTCTTCTCCGCCAGCCTGTAGCTCTGCCCGTGATTGCCCCAACCCAGGTACACGACCTGATTCACTTGCTGGGATGTCAGAGTGTTAAAGAGGTGAACAGTGAGATCATGATTTGAGATGAGATACAACTGTGCCCTCATGTGTATCTAGCCCCAGAAAGTGGAAGTGCTCTACAGATAGATGATAGAGACGTAGCCTGCATCTGTCTGTTGATTTTAGGGGAGCCCAGACAATTAGCTTTAGACTGATTTTTGAAGATGAGATGAATCTTTTCTTTCCTGAGTATAGGAACTTTACTAGATCAATATCTTTGATAAATCCTGCTTTGTGAAGCTAACTACATAAAGTGATTCCCCAAAAGAACTCAGGACAAAATTTATAGTCATAGGTCAATCTTTTAGGACACTGACAGGCAGGCCCAGAGTAATGATTTTCACAGAAATCAGGAATATGAGACTTCTTAATTTAGGAATACATTTATAAAATTGTGGATGTATGAATTCAGGATAGAAAAAAATTTTACATCTTTTTTTATAATGCATGCGTGTTCTTATAATGATAAAGTCTTGACTTGACTTCAGATGTTACACAATGTCGTAATATGAATGGTTATAGGCTATCTTATGTTTCAACATGAGAACATGGTATTTTTTAGAGCTATCTTCATTTAGCTTTACAGATTTTTTACATTTAAATTCAACTTTTATTAATTAAATTCTATAAGGTATGAATGTTGAATCTTTACTATAGCAAAACTACATGAAATTTAATAAAAATCCTCATACAGTTAATAGAACAATTAAAATTAGTTAAATAATCTGTGTCTGATAGTATGCATACTTCACATAAGATAGTCAGGCATGAATTTTAGGTGGGGCTGCCTCCCTTCTTTTTCAAAAGCAGCTGTCAAATAATACTAGTAATTGATCTTCTGTTACTATGTTTTTCTTTGTAAGTATAGCCAACATTTTGAATATACAGATTACATCATCTGAGAATCATTAATCATGACTACAATTATCTAGATATCTCATAAATTGAAACTAAGCTTTAAAAACTCAGGTAGTTTTGGCTTCCAGGAACTTCTGTCAAGGAGACTAAGAGAAAAGTATTTCTTCTACTGAATAATAGAGGCAATTCTTGAGTCAGTTTTTCTAATGCCCTGGTGCAGTACCTCAGGTACTAATGTCTGGAAACAATGTAGTAACTCTCTGGAATGCACATGAAGACATTTCAGAGCCAGAGGAAAACTATGAAAATAAATTCATAATTTTCTGTTTCTTCCTAACATAGATGATGGAAGAAATAACACGTAAATGTTCAGTGTATCTAAGATAAGTCAGTTGGCTCTATGACAAAAGAGGGCAACAAACAAAAGGCGGACTTGTAAATGTGGCTGACCAGTTCCCTTGATTGTATATATAAGATAAGACCAAGATTAAATATGGATTTACTGGTACGATAAATTTGTTTTTGTATTAATCAAATAGATTCTCGCCTATTGTTGCCATTGGGTATGTTCACACAGGCAGTGCCCATACCAGAGAAGTATTGTACATTGCTCCAAGTAAAATCTACCCTAGGATATCTATTGCACCTGCTGAAGTCTTAGTACTCCAGTAATAGACCTAAAAATGGTAGTTAATTTTAAATTTATATGCTTTTCTATACAAAATTTCATGAACAGCTGCACTTTTTGATAAAGAAATTTTGTCAATAGATAATGCTTTAGATTCTGAACCCCAGGAGAACACCAAAGGAAAGTTTATGACAGGTGAGACATATCTTTGATTAGATTAGTATTAAATGTATGGAACATAAATGAAATTCTGCAGCCTCGGGATTAAAGGAATATATAACTAAGGGGGTTCTTTACTGAATATTTCATCCTTTGGTGTACATAACTATCTCTGATGTTACTTCAGAGGAAGAGTGCCACAAGTTGCAAAGAAGAAATGTGAACCAAAGGAAAGATATAGACATTCCAGACTATTTTCCAAACTATTCTTGTATTCTGAAACATCCTGTTGCCTTTATATCTTTTGTTTTTTTTCGATTTTTAATTTCAGACAGATAAATTACAGCTTTGTATTTGTTGCTTTAAAGCAATGAGGAATAAAAGCTGTCAGAATCTTTTAGCTGTTTGTTATCAGGATACTGACTATATAATTAGAGTATTCCAATTAAATCTGATGGTTTGAATAGCATAAATCTGCCTTAGAATACTGAACATATAAGAAGAATGAACAAGAGTGTATCATCTATGACCTGTGATTCTGTAGTGTTCTAACTGATAATGCAGTGGGGTTTCTTCAGGATGTGTAGGTCAAGAGAATATGAATAAATATATTTGGATGACTCCTTGCTTCATGACCAGTTGGCATCAAATTATGGAAAGTACTACACTAACATCAGCAGAGATGACTTAGGTTTAAACATGCAGGCGTAAGTGAAAAGGTGATACTTGTAAACTTGCAGTTTAACACTGTATTTACACAAAGAATTCTTATTTAATAAGAGGTAAACATAAATGCTGAATCTTGCTGATATTTAGCAGGGTTTGGTTCTCCTAGGTTTACCGTGTAAGCTTGCCCCTGGACTTCTATTTCCAAAATAGAAATACACAGATGAAAAAATACTATGCAAATGCAAATGACTAGTTAATAGGATTCTTGGTGTCCAATAGCATCTACAAGTAAAAAGAAATTTATTTTTTAACATTTAACACTTTTGTTAAGAATATTTTTTACTTCCTTTCTCTTCTAACCATCAACATATTGCACCAGTCATTTTAAAAGCTGTTTCCCAGTATTTTCATTGCTATTTTGTAACAAAGTTTATAATTTTGGCTTGTCCCCTCCTTATTTTCTTCAGCAAAAGCAATGTCAAATAACCATTTAATGAGTATCCTACTATGTGAGACATTTGCCTAACCCAGGAGCTCTGCAAAACCAATTAGAAGTGTACATACGCAAATTAGATGCATATAAGCATGACTAATCTCTCAACTCTTTCCCCCCAAAACTCAGGACTCGGTTGTAGCTAAACTCATTTTGAAAACAAAGTTTGAAGAGTCTTTTGATGATCTATATGTTGTGAAAGTCTTAATATCTAAAATGCTTTTTTAATTTTATAACCCATCTCCTTACCCAAATGGATACACTGATGTATTTGCTCCTTAAAGCATATACACTTCAAACGTCCAGGCAGATGATTGTATAAAATTGCCTTTAAAAAACAAACAAACAAACACTTGTTATCTTCTTTTTTATTGATTTTGGGTTTGGTTTTGTTTTTCACATAAAGCCTTCTGTGAAGCATCTGAGAAGACAGAATGGCCAGACTACGTGTTTCAAGGAAGACCAAACACAGACCAGGCACACGGGTATTTGGTTTCCCACAGATGGAAGTTCCACTTGAGATGGCCAAAACAGTTCAGCATCCAGGTGCAACTACAAAAGAACATGTGTCCTCAGTCATGTCTGTGAGCAATCTGCATACATGCTGCGGTTGAACTCTGGACTGGCAACTCAGTCCCATATAGCTGCTCACCCCCCACCCTGCAGTGGAAAGAATCTCAGGAGTGAAAGTGAGAAAACTCCCAGGCTGACATAAACACAGTTTAACAGATAAAGTAAAAGACATATATGGCAGCAAAGCAAAACAAGGAATTCATTCACCACTTCTTATCAGTAGGCAGCTGTTCAGCCATCTCCACGAAAGCAGGGCTCCGTCAGACATTAAGGATTATTTGGGAAGGCAAATGCTGTCACTCCTGAGACCCTCCCTCTCTCTTTCTTTCCCCAGCTTTGTTGCAAAACATGGCATCATAAGGTCTGGGATATTCCTTTGGTCAGTTGGGGTCAGCTGTCTTGTCTGTGTCCTTTCTGAACTTCCTTTGCATCCTTAGCCTACTTGTTGGTGGGGTGTTGTGAGAAAGAAGGCACTGATATGTGCAAGCACTGTTCAGCAATAACAAAAACATCCATGTTTTATCCACACTATTTTCATCACAGATCTATAGCATAGTATCATAGAAACTACTATGAAGAAAATTATCCTAGCCAAAACAGTACAAGATGTCAAGTATGAGTATCTCACATGGCAATAGGTGACTATGGGTAGTCCATTGAATGAAATCCATACCCATCTAAAAAAGATAGGCTTTAATAAAACAAGATACAGTAGTGTGAGCAAAAAAATAATGACATTTCAACTAGCTTTTACAACAAAAATATAATTTATGAGAAGCATGTCAAGCAAAAGGACAGGCTTCTCTCCTCAGTATCCTTTCATTGGGGCAATACACTGTAATCTTTTATGCTATCATATCTCAGTTCTCTTAGAACATATAACCTGCAGCTATTTGTAACATTGATGCTTGATACTGCTTTTTAAAGAGAGAGAGAGGGGGAAAGAATTAAGCCAGTGTACAGCATTTGGTAAAATCCAAAAGCTGCCAATGTTTTGCAAAGACATTCTTTCAGAATAAATTTAGGGATTTGCATCTGGATGGCCCAAACCTGAATGTTTCAGGTTGTGATCTAAGTGAAACAGACACCTCAGAATAGTTAGTTATAAATCTCCTCTTGGGCTGTATCTGCAATCACATACTGCAAATGCAGCCCTGAATCTCAGCAATGGGGTAACAGAGGACACCCAAGCTAAATTTGCACTTGGATTTGTAATTATTGAAACAGGTTGTTCTCTATTTTGTTAGGGAAAAAAAAAATAGTCTTAGCAGTTGCTCAGTTCTTCACAACATGAAGTTAAAGGTCAGTGCTAGTAACAGTGAGGTAGCTAATACTGCTAAGTGCCACTAAGTGGCCATAATGCACTTCAGTACACTTAAAAAAACCTCATGCATTCCATGCAGGTACAATCAGCAGGTCCATTAAGTGGCATACTAAATGTAAACCATAAAACAGAAGAACATCAAGTCTTTAATGATAACAAACAACAATCAAATCTTCAGGTCAAATTCATTATCCATGTAACAAGACAAAGTGTTCTTTGTAATCAAAGTCCTTTTCTGTGTCATCTGTGCTCCAGACTAGAACCCTTCATTCATACAGACTTCTTCTTCCATGAAAGATGCAATTTGCTTCCCAATCTTATCTTCCTTTTTTGGTTTTTTTTTCAGAATTATTTCCAAGAATGCCTCCAAAATGAGAATATTTCCTTTTGAAGAAGCAGTAAGAGCATGGCTGACCTGAACACACCTGAACACTTCTCCTACATTTCAGAATACATCTTGGCTTCAACACCAAGAAAATGTTAGGTCTGATAATGGGTTGAGATAAGTGTAGGCTGTTATGCTTTCCTGCTGTTATAATAAGAGCTCATTTGTCCACACTTCTGCTTATCTAAGAACACTGTCTCTGCATCAATAATTTTTCCTTATTCTTGATTATTATTGCTGTTTGTGAGTTCCCTCACATCTGACATTATGTTACAGTGTAACTTAAAAAAAATAAAACAAAATAAAATCAAACCAAAAGTGCTCATGCACTTAAAGGGATATATGTTTTATTTCTCAGGCCCACTGCACTGAAACAGTTTTAGCCTTACCCCTCCTCCATATTGCAGGTTTCAGAGTATAAAAAATGAGCAACTAACAAAAGAATTTCAAAAGGAGCAATGGACTTGAGTCATTTTCAGTACACATATTCCTTCCTGGAGACTAGGGACTCTCAATATTGTGACAATGAGCTGATTACAAAGACAGGTAATGGTAATCACATTGGTGTTGTGATTGGACTACATATTACAATTGCTATATATCTATATTTTGCTAAGTGTAACTTAAGTTTGTGTTTTGAGATGTATTTTGTATCACTCTGCTAAAGCAGAAATCCCATGTAACATCAACTATCTTTAAATAAACACATTATATATTTCACATTACACCTTCTACACTCAGAATATCTAAAAGAACTTGGTTAGAAAGTATTGGACTTTGACACTAACAGGCCTACAGTCCACGAGACCTGATTAGAGCTAGCCTAATTTAAACCTTAGTGTATACAGTGTCAACATTATGTTCTCAAGACTAAGTAAGTTTCACCCTACCCAGCCAACCTTCTGGGGTATAATAGTTACTGGAGTATTTAGCTTATGTAATTAAATGATTCTTACAGAATTTCTTTTCCATGAATTTCTCATATCTTTGCTTGATCCCAGGTAAACTGTAAGTATTCAAATGAGCACTGCACTTGCTCTGACAGAAGAAACTACTTCATGTCTTAATATAAATACAGTGGCATACTCCAGTCAACAGCTATGGCTACAAAAAGCAAGCATGCTTTCTCTAAAAGCTGTGATTATGGGATGTACTGTGTCCTACATACCTTAAGGCCATACAAGATTCTCACAGAAAGCCTGCTGAGATTATGTAGTGCAACTTGGAAAGCAACCAATCTGGTCATGAAGTCAGCTATAGTGTGTGCTGAAAGTTATACAAATGACTTTAACCAGAGAAGTATGTATTAGTGTGAACATCTGCCTCTAAAACTTGGTGTATCAATCTAAGGCTTACTGTTTATTATAATCTCATCAGAAGAGTGAATATATAGAGCTATTTGACCTACAATGCTCCTAACACACGTCAGGGAGTCAGAAACATGTTTCAGTGACAGTCACACAGCCTTCTCTCTGTGTGCACAAACAAGGTCAGAAAGAAACCTTGTTTTGCTGTTTGCTGACAACTCTAAGGTCACAGTAAGTCTTATCTTCTTATTCCTGTGATATGAAACCTAAAAAGGGCTCTTCATGTTAATGATAAATACAAATTAGTTCTGGTTTTTGTTGGTTTTTTTTTCTTTCCTTTCAAATTTCAAAGCAAATGCTGTGGTCACTTCACCCAAAAGGTGGAATCCACATCCTTCTGAGATCAGAACTTTTTAATATATATGATGTGTTTTTAAGAAATTATTTTGCACTAATGATAAAAGTATAAGGCCAGGATATTAATATCTAAGGGCCCACAGCTTATAAACTATACCTTTATTTAGGCACTTAAAGAATTGTAAAACTCAGACGTGAAAAATTTGACTAGAGTTCCTATTATTTGATTTCTGGGATTCCCAATAGAATGTAAAATACAAAGCTAAAGTATTTTTAAGGGCTAATGTATCTTCAGAGAATGAAAATGGTGGGATGGCTCCTACGACTGGAGTGTTGGAATGGGAGGTTATAGGCTCTTCAGGAAAGACAGCCCAGGCAGACAGGGAGGGGGAGTAGCTATTTTTGTCAATGAGAGGCTGGAGAGTATGGAGCTCTGTCTGGGGATGGATGATGGGCCAACAGAGTTTGTGGGTTAGACTCACTAATATTCTAACTAAATTGAATTTTATTTCAGTCTTTCTGCTTAATACTGCTGTAACAAAAAGAAACAGAATTCTGAGAATCATTTAAAGGTTATGACTGTCACAGAACCAGAATATTTCTATCAGGAAAACCATCACGGCCTTGATTTATGATTTTCATTTAGATGATCTCAATGAGAGTAATGAATTAAACTGCAATTTGAAATTCAATAATTTTCATTTTTTTCTGAAGATTTGTTAAAACCAGACTTATTTCTGTGTTAAAGGCCAAGCATCTTTGCTCTTACCATATCTTCTCCTCTCTTTTCTTCAACTCAAGGCAGTTAGGAATTGGAAGACACATAGGGAAACACTGAGGAAAAACTTAATAATTAGAGGCAGTAGAATCAACTGCCTAACTGTTCTCTAGATTTTGTTGGCTTTTGTTTTTTTGGTTTTTTTTTACAAATTTTGTTATAGTTATCTCGAAGAAGAAGTGTGAAGTATGTTTCAAGAAAATAGACCTAGATTTTACCTTCCATGTCACTGGTGATGTCATAAGTACCATTTCATATTTCATCCGTAATTTTATTGATGTCTTGATAGTGGCATACAATGATCACTTTTCAGTTTGTTTCTGTGCATTTGATTTACCTGGAGAGAAGATCACCAGCAAACTTGTGGAGCTGACTAGAATGTCAAGTGCTATGCTTATACCTCTAGATTAAAGGAGATTCTGGATGAATCCCTGGCTGTAAATACTCTAGAATAAATATCCCAACTGCATAATCAGGTAACAAAAATCAAAAAACTTAGACCAAGTATAACCAATCAGTTCCTCATTACTAGGTTCATTATAATGATATATAGGATCATTATAATGATATATAAGTTTTTGTATTGTCTTTTTATATCTCATATTAAAGGAGTTTTGATAGTGATTGAAATCACTATCCTATCTCATAAACTATCTTTGTTTTGTAACATAAAATAAAATAAATTTAAATGGATCAATTTCAAACAGTAAAATATGTCCACTTATAAAGTAGAAAAGACATTTTTTGTAGGTTATAATCT